GGTAGGTGGCATCTGCTGCATCCTCCTGTAACAAAGTGCATGGCCCAGGGGCTGAAGTCCAGGTGCAGGGAGTTAGAGGGATGAGCCTGCCTGCCTGGGAGCCCTGGGTCAAGTGATGGGAATGATTAGAGTCAGCCCTAGGGGAAGTTAAAAGCCCCCAGGGACGGTAGCAAAGGAAGACAGAGGAGGCTGGTAGGCTGAGGGACAAGCAGGACAAGCACCAACCCTGGGTTGCCTCTCTCCCAAGGTCTGAAGAAAGACCAGAGGTTTTGCTTTTGTTTGTTATTTGCATGCTGATTATGTTGTTTCTTGCCTTGTTTGTTGTGGGGACATGTGTTCCCCCTGTAAAATAAATGGACTGGAACTGAGAGCTGACTGGACATTATGAGCAAACTAGTGCCTGGATCTGGCTGAAGGAGAGACAACCTGCTACACCTTTTATTCTTAATCCTGGATCTGCCCATATTCACCTATGGTATATTCAGGAAAGATGTTGCCTCAATTCTGTTAGTTTCAAGAGTTGCTGGCAGTACAACAAAAAAGTTCAACATTCATACAGTTGTTCCTATTGTATTCTCTATTTGTAGGAGGAAAATTATACATAAAAGGATGACACTATTTTTCAGATCCTTGGAAGTGTTTGTAGGGGGAGCAAATCTGTTCTGTTATCTGGGAGTATTCTAACACACCTGGACAGAATGGCTGTGTTTGAAACTGAGGCCTTTCTGGCCATATTTTGACTTTCAAGAGACTTCACATGTTGGATTTTCTTCTTCCCCACAAAGTATACTTCAGCAACATTGAATGACTCCTCTAACAACTTGAGGGCACTTTTGAGCAGTAACACCAAGAGGTGTTGATGGTGTTGAATTCAGACTTGGACATGTAGTTGTCTGTCTTTGCCATCTTTTCTTCTATTGCTAATGATGTCTACCACAAAAATGTAGAATTTCAGCCACAAAAGGTTTTAAAGAAGCTATGTGACATTTCTCTGATTCTTCCATCTATTTTTCTCCAGGTTTAAACTTACAGCAGTTGTTAGCTCTTCATTGGTGACTAGTTTTGTTTTATTGTAAAGTTCTAATTATGTCAAAGAAAATCACTGCAAGCAAAAATAAAGTCAAGTATAGTGCCTTTTGTGCATCTTGCTCATCACTGTCAAATGCTCATTCATTGGTTTCAAGGGCAATCTATCAAGTTCTACCAACTGCAACTAATTTTACCAGTGAACTGAGTCTTGGTGGCATTCATGCTTGACATTAATGCTCTTGAAGAAAGGACATATGTTGAACTGCAACATTTGTGTATCTCAAGTCTCACTTCAGATGACTGAGTTTGTGGTATTTGTATGTCACTGGCATCTAATCACCTCTGCTTCGGTCCACAGATTGCAGTTTGTAGAAAATGATTCTCCCCCTCCCCCATTTCTTCCAAAACTGTTCACTGAACAGGTCTTTCACCTCCCTCGCTCCCCCCCAACCCTTAACTCTGAATGACCTTATTTCTCAGATGTTAAACATTATTTCAGTGCAGACTTTATATACTTTTAATATACTGTGTGGAGCCTACTCTTTGTACAGCTGAATAATTATTCGGCCCTAGTATGGTATACATAAATAGGTTATTTCATCCTCACCATCTCTTCTTTTTTCAGTTTTACAGAGCTTTCTACCCTGGGGATGATTTTCAATGTTTGTGCTATATTTTATCAGCATGTTAACATCTGGCTCTGTGAATTCCTCATACTCTCTAGGTGCTTTGGAGCATCTGTAGTTCATCCTTTCAGCAGAGAACTTGGAAACTGTGTGGCATGCGTCTTTAGAAAAGAACAGCAGAATGCTATCTGCTTTTTGTGTGTTCATCTAGCTGCATTTCTTATAGAAATTGGAAAAGGTTTATTGCAAGTCCTTCTCAAGCAGTGTATAATGTTTATTCTAACTCCATGTATGATGCCAAATGACAGAAGCTTTCACTCACACTGGGAGTTATTGAAATGAGCAGTCCTAGTGACTACACCATCATTTTTTCCCACATCTCGTGGGCTTCATCTTGCTATGTATGCCATATATACAACAATCTTCACAATACACTTATTAAGGAAACAATTGTTTTAAAGAAGAGGAATTTAAAATCCATAGCTGTTAAATACAACTGTATATGAATTCATATGTATAGATCATGTATGTATGAATTTGACTGTATAGATCATGATGGCAGAAGAAATATAAATAAAACTTAAAAAAAATCTAAATTTACTGTAGCCATACTGAACAGAAGCCAGGAGCTAACCAAATCTAATGTTCTTTACTTGACTAAAAGACAGAACTTTTCTTGAACAGCTTAAACTTAGTCATATTTCTTTGAATACTGTATTTTAATCTTTAAACATATCATTAGTTTAGGAATGAATACAGCCTATAAACATTGCTCCAGGCCACTTAATTTGGTGTAGAAAATTCCACAAGTGATGGCATTAAAGAAAAATGCATTTTATTTCAAGTTGCAGCTGTTTGAAGCTGCTCAGAGGTATGAAATGTTGATTTAATCCTCAAAAACAAACTTTAATTAACAGAATGTAAGCGAGGTGATCATTGGTGCATGAAGAACTTACCACAAGAGCTATCACCACCGTTTAATGTGGTTTCTGCCTAACGGAATCTTTCTATATTGTTTAGCAGAGGGTATGTCTTTTAACTAAAGGGTCAGTTTTACCACATCTCTTGTCTACTGTACAAAACAACCACTGTAGAAGATGAGTCATTGTGCATTGCACCCATATTACTGTGGTATAATCTAGGTGTGAAGAGCAGTTTTGGGATTGCCTTATATTGACTGCTGCAGTGACAAGTCCCAGCAAAGATGGGGCTGAGTGCCCCTTGAAACTCGAGTGTACAGGCATCTGTCAAGCTGGCTAACTAGGCTGCTCTGGGCTTGACTCAATCGCCTGCACTCTAGTTCTATCCTCCAAGCTTCTGCCCAGGGATGTATGTGCATGGGGGGGTTATAATACAAGGCCTAGCGAGTGCAAAACTCTAGTTCCATCTTGCTTTGCCCCAGGCTTCTTGTATTACCTATGATGCTTTGCAAAATGGAATCAGTATTTCAGTACCAGAATGGAAGTGGTAAGGATAAAACCAATGAAGAGTGCGAAGCTCTGATGCCATGGTCATAGGCTGAATTGGTCTGCAATGCAGGACATAATTGCTACTTGTTAGCATGGGAAATTACACCAGGTAGAGCCTGCCCTTGTAGCTGAAAGTAGTTGCCAGCCTCTTGTGGAAAAGGCTGTCTGGTGGGTATCCTCTTGAAGCCATCATTGCTCATCAAGTGTAAGTGAGGATGGCACCAATCTAGACTGTGCTTTATTTACCCTTTGCTTCAGTTGCAAATATTGCTGTCTTGCAGAAATGCTTAGAGCTAAGGAGGAGGGCGTTTTGTTTGTTACCCAGTCTCGTCCAACTGGCTTTTGTCTAACATGGACTCAATCCTTGGCCATCCAGGGCTGCTTTATGGCTCAAGGCTACTGTCCACAGAGCCTTTTACTTAAATATGTTAACTAATATGCATAACCCTTGGAGCCTTATTCTGTGACAGCCTACTGCTGGCAACATTATGAGTCACTGACTGTCAGCTTAGGTCCTGATATGGCAACTATATAAAAAGAAACTGCATGTGAACAGCCTTGTTCACTCATGTGTGTGGTTACAGTTATCTATTTGCATGCCTAGCATCTTAGAAAGTCAGCTAACTAACTGCAGCCGAGGCCGTGTTGCACTCAAGCCTGCCGCAGGAAAGGTACCAGTTGCAGAATAACTGGTTCCGTTTCCCGGTCGTGAGTTGTGAGGGGGGGAAAAAAAAAGTCCTGGGACCTTGCTGTGCCAGACGCGTTTCAGGTGGGAGGTGAGAGCGGATGAGGTGCTGGTTATGTGCAGCAGCGCTCCCGCTCGGGGACCGGAGCTCGGACCGCGCTCCAGAGCAAGTGTCGAGCGTTCGGAGCGCAGTGCCGAACGTTCGGACGGGCATTGTTACGGGCCCGGGAGGGCGTTGTTGATTCGCCGATCGCTGCGGGTCTGCTTGGCAACTGGGCGCCTTTGTGCGCCCGGCGGGGCAGGCGGGCTGTCATCTTGCCCCTCCGCTTGTTAGGGACGGCGCACGCCCCCCCCATGCGCCCTACACAGCAGGGAGAGATGGCACTGGGGGCCACGAAACCCCCTCTCCCGCGGCACCTCATTAGCCAGGATCCCGCCATGTGCTTCTAATCCTCCCCCCAGGCGAGCAGCCGCTGGAGTTCAGCGCGGGGGCACCCAGGCCCGCGCACTCCCCAGATTGAGGTAGGCGGGCGGGCAGGGCCCTCCTTCCTCCTGCAGCAAAGGCGGGTCCGGGCCCGTGCCCCCGCGCTAAGCACGGGGGTTGATTGCCCCCGCCGCCAGGCAGGGAGCGGAGGAGCCGGCGGCGCGGCGCAACGCGGCGGGCAGGAAGCGGCCGGCGCGGGCAGGGAGGGAAGGGGAAGAGGCGGAGCCTGGGCGCCAGCAGTGTCAATAATACAATAGGGCTCTTGTGCGGCCGCCCGCGAGCAGAGGAGCCAGCG